TAGCCAATTACCTCCGGTACATGTCTGTACCGCGCACTTTAAATGGCTGCATCTGTAGATGCATATGCACATTTATTCATTTTTGCTCTCTCCTCCAACCATGCATTCTTCTCAACAAAAATAACAGGGGAAGGTCTTAATTTGTACTGTCATCTTTTCAGAAGAAAAAGGTTTATGTGTCATATAATGTTGATAGACATTTATGAAACAGTTTATTGTGCACTCTTTCCAATTTGAACATAGCCAGAATAGTAATTTAATTAAAAATAATTTGTTATCTACTTTAAACAATATTCTAATAAATAGAAACATCAATGTTATCAGGCCTTAATGCTGATGTCTGTGCAGGAATTGTCACGAACATGGACTAAAATCCGTGTAAGGTCTTGTAGTAGACCCTATGCGATGCGGTAAGAGCTGGAGAATACAGGAGGCATGGTATAAGTAAACACACAGGGGTTTAATAGTGCACAAAATAAAAGTGACAATCCATGAGACAATGAATGGGGAAGACAGAGAACGGCATCCAAATCCAAATGGGTCCAAAGGCAGGTCAGGGCACAGTCCAAGAGTCCATCAACGAATAATCCATCATGGGACGCGACAAGGTTAAAATCCCCAGGAGAGGGGAACACACGGACAGGCAAAAAGTGGAGGTCCAAAGGTGATGGGGCGAGATCCTCCAGACCCTGGGCTCAGGAAACGGGAGGTGTCGGGGATGAGACCCATGCCCTCAGGATACGGACGTAGGGTTTCCTTGTGCTAGGTGGGCATCGCGACATCTTTACCCTAATGATAAGCGCCGAGGACTGGAGGAGCTAGTCTTTAAATAATAAAGCTAAGAGGGTACACCTGGGGAGCTTAACAATCACAAGGACAATAATGGGAGCAGTGGAGCGCCCTCTAGGGAGGGATGTTGGGCGGGACAGGAATGTGACTACATGGAGATCATTCAAATGCTTCTAAATAAATTGAATACTACCATTATAATATCTGTGGATTAGCAATAGACACCCTTTTGGTGCCCCCTTGCTTTGTAAAGGTCTTTATAAATGTATAAATAAATCAAACACACATTGCTTCATGTCTGGATTAAAACATATCTGTACAAAAGATGAATAACCACCAATAAAATGACCCTGAACAAATGCAGGCCTAGAAGTAAATGAGTTAATTAATACTGGAATAGATTACTTCTCTGGTGATCTTAGATACCTACAGTGTCTACACTGTATGTACAGTGTCAGCAACATTTATTTTAATTCAGTAACACTTTGCCTACAAAGTATCTGTTGGTGTTATAGTACCAGTGTTTTGAAGAGAAACCAATAGGTATTCCTATATATTATATTTAATAGAATGTGATTTTTTATTAGCACAGTTTGGATAAATATTTTTAGCTTCAAGGGACATCAGCAAATTAATTAATAAGTATAATCTAATGAATATTAACATGATGGTTTCCTAGATTCATTATTAGTTTTATTAATACAGTTTCAAAAATTAATAAGCTTATAGGAATTAACTTATTTTTTACTTTCTTAATTAGATAAAACTTGGTCTGTGGTGCAACACAACAATACAGAACTGACTACATTAAAAGCATCCAGTGGGGTAAATCACCGCTTTGTCTACTTTAACTATACTGCCAATGTGGAACAGCTCGAGGCTATAATTAACCAAGCAGAGTACTGTGAACAGGAGCTTAGCTACCACTGCAAGAAGTCACGCCTTTTAAACACACCTGGTAAGTACTTTTTTATTAGAATTAATACCGCAATAAAAGTAAAATGTATTAAATTTAATTTCACCAATAATGTTTCACCAATAATGTGCCACTTCTTCATAAATTTATTTGCTTATGTATTTCAGCAAGTCCAGTCTTTCTAAAAAATGTAAAATGTGGGCTATGTTTTCTGTAGTTAAAATATTTTTTAAATATATTTTCATATTTATATTGTGCTCATCCTTCAAATATTAAGCAAATTTCAATTTTTTTTCATATTTTTTTCTTTTATGCCTAAAAGAATACAATATTCTTTTAAAATTCATGTTCTATTATATCTTTTATTAAAATATAACATATTGTGAGTCACAGAAAAACACTTTCTCTTAAAGGATTATGGGAGTATTGATAAACTAACCAGCAGTAATGTCAAAGCCAATACCTTGGCTTTTTTAAAAGAAATAGCTGGATGACATCCTTGGATCAATTAACTATAAATTACCAAATGGGCCTGGTGGGTCAAAAAAACTCCTTGATGAATGAAAAGGACTATAAAACACAAATTATATTGTTACAAAATATGTTGGAAGATGTTGTATTTATTACATGACTTGCTTTTTTCATCAAGTGATGTTCAGTATTTCCAAGAGTTTTTGAACATTTGAGAGATTATATTTCAGAGTTTTCTAGGATAAAACCAAAAAGAATTGCAAAACCCTTTAATTATTTATTCATTTAAACCTTCTAAAAGTTTATGTTGTGTGAAACATTGTAAATTTCAAGGCATTCATGGTTTCACATTTTGCGGATTCCTCAGAAACAGATTTCTCTCTTTGATGATGATATTTCTATCCCGTCATTTTTCTCCTTATATCTCAGATGGAACACCCTTCACTTGGTGGGTTGGAAGAACAAATGATGCACAAACATATTGGGGTGGTTCCGTACCTGGAAGTAAAAAATGTGCTTGTGGACTGATGGAAAACTGCATTGATCTGAAACACTATTGCAACTGTGATTCTGACAGAAAAGAATGGTAATCTGAAACAGTTTAATTATTGTTTAATAGTTGTACTCTCTGTATTTTGTAAGAAATGTAATACTTATATACTGTATAATTAATACTTATTAATTATAATTAATAAATATACACTTAAATACTTTAAAAATACATATAAAGCTATAATAAGTAGGTTATTTATTGTGTTGATTTTAATATTCTAAAAAGAAAGTTGAAAGTAAGGTTTGGTATTAGTCACATAATATAAATTATATGTCTATGTAAGTGACCAATACCAGACCACAGCATTGCACTGTCCCATTTTTATTTAAAAAATAAATAAAAATATTTTTTATAGCATTAAGTAACCCTTTCAGTTCAGAGACAAACATTATCATGTTGCAAGATTAAGGGATTATTGTGGCACTGTAAAAAAGTGATTTATAAATTCAAAGACTTCTGTTTCTTCTGATTATTACAGTGCTTGACTATAAAATACAAATATATGACAAGATAAAAAGTCACATTTTCTCTGAAGAAACAAATATGATTCTTATAAATAAAAAAGGAACCTAATGTTATTCTTTAAAATGTCTTTTTTGTCTAATTTTAGGACAAATGACTCTGGCCTTCTCTCTTTCAAAGACCATTTGCCTGTCTCTAAAATAGTGTTTGGTGATATCAATAGAGCTGGTTCAGAGGCAGCTTACAGAGTTGGACATCTACAGTGCTATGGTGATAGTAAGTAATTTTCTTAAATATTTGTTCCTAGTGTTAATTCTGTCTTGAAATGCAGTATATGTAATGAACACTTGGCTTTATGTCGGAAAATCCAAACAGGGAATCAGATCTTTTATTGATTTCTAATCAAGGTTAAAAATTCAGATCAGCACAGAAGTGAAATCTGCACTGGTCAGTTTCTAATTAAAGAAAGCTAATTAAATAATTTCCTTCTACTCTAATATGTGCTAGCAACATTATTTATCTTCATGTACTCTAGATATTTAAAAAGAATTATAACATAGATTTTAAATTCTCTGTCACTTGTGTTTGTCATTTTTGTAAATGATTTACCCTTGCTATAAAAGTGATAAAGTAATTAGTTTAAAGGTTAAAACAAATACCTTGGGTATGGTTCAGAAACAGTAAAATGCATTTGAGGCACAACAGAAAATAATATTATTTAAGGGAAAAATGTTCAAATAAAACAAAGGAATAAATAAGAAGGGAGTATATCAAGGTTACTGTTCCATTAATGTGAGCCAAACATGTATCTGAAGTTCACTTAAGTTACACATTGCAGATCAGATATTTTTCACCAAAGAGGCTCCATAGTCAGGTTTATAATATAACATATGACTCAGATATGAGTTCTCTTATGGGAAAAAATAATTTTTATGGTCTTACTTTTAAGCCACCCCTAGTTCTCTTGTTGAAAAAGAAATGAGTCAGCAGCTGAAACTTGCTTGTGAGTCTGAATGTAGACAAACTTTCCTTACTGAAAGCTACACATTTATATAATACTGATGTGCTTGGTCCTTCATTCCTGTGTTTTATTGTGATTCTGATGCAGGATGTATATTTTTCTCATTCCTCACATAGTAACACTTGCAAAATATTTTCTGAGATTTTAAATTAATTTGTTTAATTTTTTTTATGTAGGTCTTTAAGGCCCACTTTAGGTCACATTATGGTTTTCCTTTGTGGCAGCATTTTCACATATCCTCCTCCCCAGCTTAAACTACAAGGTTGAGCAGTTGAAGCATCAGCATTGGTATTCAAGATTTCTGAACAATGCTGCACAGTAAAAAAATAATTCTGTTAAGATGACAAGCCATCTTTTAATCTTGAATGGCCTTGTTACTACCGGATTCTTCCCCATATTAGATTTCATCCACAGTAGACATGGTCAGTAAGTGCTTGACCCTAAAAATAATATCCCAATTAGGGTTTTGATTGCCCATTTTATGGTTTGATCTTCCTTCCCAGTTCTTTCTCCAATGAATCTAAAAAGAATCTAAAAAAAGATTTATAAAAAGAAACATTCATTAAAATCTGGCACCACCAGAACACATTTCACCAGAGTGCTTGCTTGCTTCAAATTGGTTAATGAGGACTCCGCTTCTGTGAACCACCATACGGACTTAGGCACCAACATCTGGTTCAGCTGTGTTAGAGCACTAGATTATCATGGAGGTATTAAATGGCAATAATATACAACTAGCACTAGAACTAGGTCTAGACCTTCACAGTCTGCAGTTGGACCTATCCATTCCTAACTACACACCCGGGATATTAGGTCCAGGTGGAGTCATTCATACTATTCTGAGGGTTCAAATTCAACCTGCCCCAGCCTGCCCCAAGCTTTTAAGGATCTTGTGACAATGTTGTAGATGCATGGTTCATTCTTCACTGACAATAACTGCATCTTCAATATAGGTCAAAGCTTATTCCATATAGGGTTGCTGTTTCTAGGGAGTACTCCATGCAAGCCAAAGTGTAGAACTTTATATTAATACAGCCCCATGGGTATTGCAAAGTTGTTTTGGGCTTATCATCCAGTGCAATATTAATTTGCCCATATCCTTTTAAATCCAGGGGAGTGAGATAGTGAAATCAAACAGACTTTTCCAGGATCTTATCCAGGCAATGAATAAGTGTGAAATAGAGAGACCTTGTTAAACTTCCCAGAAGTTATTAAAAAATCCATGTTCAATTTAGCTTGGGAAAAAGTATGATCCTACTACATCATGTGCTGAAGCTTTTATCAATAGCGTCAACATGCAGATTTTTTAAAGCTTTTTGGCAAACTTTAGCCTTTTTAGCCATGGTGACTATTATTTCACATTTCATGAACCACAGTACCAAGAGAATCATAATGTGTTGTTCATTTATCTGATTAAAAAAACAACAACAACAACTGCCTTCTGTTATAGAATGATTAGACAGTCTGTCTTTGTTGCTCCATTAAATTCCATGACACTTCTACTAACTCTACAGCATAGAGAACACAAGATCTCACTTTAGCAGGTCCAGGTTTATTTCATATTTGTACCTCTTCAAATAATAGATTTGTACCTTCTTTTCCCAGTCTGATTGATATATTCAATAGCTGACAGATTCTGCTGAAGTACTTCATAAGGAGCTTAACACCTGACAAGTAATCTACATTCATGAGTTGTGTGGAAAAACTTTACTCAGAAACTTTTTTGTTATCATCCTGAACCAGAAGTGGTAAATACATGATTTAAATATTACTGACACTGTACATTATTTTTCTGTAAACTGTAGTTCTAAAAACAAATTGATGTATTTTACAACTTCAGATAATGAATACAAAAAGTTTTATCGTAACTTTAGTTTCTTGATACATTTTATAAGTGTTATAATAAGTGTGATAATAAATTAAAAGTTCCATAAATTCACATTTATTTGAAAACGGTAATTATTGATCATAGATTTTCTGTCACAGACTTAGTGCACTTGGAACTCCAAGCAAATTTCAATGGATTTACTATCTACAGCTTCACTTCAAAACAGTTTAGTGTTAAGATGTATTAAATAAAACCAACACCCTTTTTTTTTCTTTGAAGACCCATGTTCCTATTTATTATAACATTGTAACATGGTCATCAATAAATTAGAACACACTATTCTAAAGTACATTTTACTAAGGCATTGTATCATTTCAAGTTTATTTGATTTAAATTGGCTCTTGAATTTCAAAAGACAATTTTCACAGTTGCAATTAATGGCAATAGTGGTTAGCATTTTTAGCTTACAGATCTGGGGCTCTGGGTTCAGCTCCTAGGGTGTAATTTTTTGTTCTGCTGTGGTAGTGTTGGTTTCTTCTGGGTACTCCGGTTTTCTTCTATAGTCCAATAGACAAACTGGTAGGTTAATTAGCTTCTAGAAAAATTATCCCTTCTGTGAATTTGTGCATGTTTGTGTTTGTATCTGTGTGTGCCCTGTGATAGACAGAAGTCCCATCCAGAATGTATTCCTCCTTGCACCTGTTGCTTACCAGGATACGCTCTGGGTCACCCATTATCCTGTATTGGAACAAGCAGTTTCAAAGTGGTTAGGTGGATGGAACGGCAATAGATTAGAAAACTCGCAATTATTTATATTATTTAATTATATTAATTATTTATAATAATTACATTGTCTTTTTTGGGACAGGTGCTTTATATAGAACAGATTTCACATAGGTAAGTCTAGTATGTTGATGACTATTATCATCAACAGGATTTCTCACAGTGGGTCTAATACTCATGTGTTTAACCACTTCTGGAAACAGTACAAGTTGTGCATCTGTGGTGTGTGTTTTGCACCAGGTCGCATAAGCTATCTTGTGGAATACAGCCTACTTAAGCATGTCCTTAGTCAGTGATTTCTCAGCTCTAGATGCCCTAGCTATCATCCCCATGCATATTCAGTGGTGATTAAGTCTGGCAAGTAGGACATCTGTGGAAATACTGTCATTTTATAATGTCACAAGACAACTGTAGTTGCATGAGCAGCATGTGGCCATTGGATTGCTGAAATGCTTCTGGAATGTTCTTGTGGCAGGATGAGATTGCAGAAAGGGTAGCATCTGAAGGTTCCCCTAGGATTTGACCAATGTAGTGTAAAGCAGTAAGGTTCTTAACCTCTACATTTGGAGTTTTATTGCAGCTTGACACTTCTGGCTAGACTGTCACACTTGGACTTCCTTATTAAACTTTAGTGAGGTGTTGTGACCTGTAGTCTTTCAGATCGAAGCCATTCACTGAAAGACTATGTTTGGCTGTAGACTATAATCTTGCTAAGTAAGTAATTGCTGCCTTTTACAGCTTTTCTAAATTGTTTAAATGCAATTCTTGAAGCAGTATTCACAATGGAAAAACAGTGAACACACATATCCCCAAAGTTTATTTCAGTTTGCAAAATAACACATCACCTCTACACAATGCCACTTAAAATATGTACCATAATACTCAAATTGAAATGAGTTTACCAGACAGAATAACAGTGTCAGTAAGTAAGAAGCTCTCTTTCTCAGTGTTTAATATGTGCCAGAAAAATACTATCATCATCAATATTACCCTTAGTACATATTCCTTCCTCTATCTTACAGTCCAACTGATACTGGATATAATTGAAAGTGTAAATACTGGATCAATAATGTTAAGGTAAATATGGGCGTTCCATTACACAATATAACTTACAGTACATAAAATCCAATAATTCAACAAAGACATGGTCCAACTAAATGAAAACTAAACAAAAGTATAAAAAAGAGACAAATGATCAATATACAATATACATCTCCTGTCTCATCTCATGGTTAGGCCACAGCTTGTTATCTGTGTCACACCTTAGGGATAAGGTGTGAAAGTCACTTTATTATATCATAGTCAGCCTTGAATGATCAAATAATCAGAATAACAGACAACAAAGACATTTAAACAATATCCAGAACTTGCATATATGATTAAAAATATACAGTTTCTTTTGGATTTCATAAATACAATACAGCCATTTTTTATTCTAGATAGAGATAATAAGGACATTCTTCTGTATCCAGACCTTTGTGTACTGTATACAACACATGTACAGTATATACATTGTATATACTGAATAGTTATAAACTGTATAGAAGGTATTTATATTCACCATAAACTGTTTTGTAACTGTCTGTGACACCCATTTGAATCTTATAATTTATTTCTGAATATTTTTGATGTATGTCAAATTGT